TTCCTGAATCCTTCGTGAAACTGACATGATATTTTGAGGTAATCTTTGCAAATACTGGAGCTTCTTCTTTCTTTCCTTATTACTATCCACAAAGAACGTTTCACTCAGTCTGACTGCACTCTGACAGGTTTCTAAACTTGAATTTCAGAGTTCACTGAAACCACTAGGAACATCACACAGCACAAGCAGAACATCACACTATCACTAAACATGAAAATGAACTGGAGACTATATTCTCCCATACTTTAAGGGACGGAGACAACATGCTTCATGAATTCATTACATCTCTTACAGTATTTCAAACCTTTTCATTTTCCCAGACATTTGTTCTCAAGAACAATTAAAGATCCCCAATTATGTCAGCAGGTGTTGGGAGTAACAGCAGGAACAGTATCCATAACAAACTTTAAGCTTCATTGGGATGGTACTTTGTCATATTAAAAATCAAAAATCTTCAGGCAATCTGCTCCAAGAATAAGACACCTTTTATGTGCAGGAAGGAGTAACCAAACTAGACTAATTTTCACTTCCACCACAGTATAGTAGCTTAAGTGTATATATGCATGTTTGTATTTTATCCATATTTTCCATTTTGCCACTGTACTTCTCAAAATTTAACAATAGCATTCAACTCTGCTCACAATAAGCGGTGGTGATTTTCATATAAAGCTACAGGAAAGTAATGTGAAAAGACAACAAAGCAATGCAAATCACAGAGGGGGTTTTTAAGAGTTTGTGTTAGAAATTCTAAAGAACTATGGCCTGGTAATAGGCAATCTCTTAGCAGTCCCCAGTCTTACAGACTTGCCCCTCTCTAAATATTGAGGGTAAAGGGAAGTGCTTCTTCATCTCAACATAGTCAGCCTAATGAAAACATTAAAAAAAAATTTAAAAACCCGGTCTCATTGTTAGAGAGGACCTGATATACCACCTCTACTTTGGAATATGTAAATTTCTTCCTAAAGATAAACACCTCATACAGCTATTCTGGAGATGTCACAAAGTTCCATGGGCACTCCTCAGACCAGCTCTCTTCAGTAGCGATTCAAACAGCAGTGACTAATTTTAGGTATTACATAAAACAAAATCTTGGCAGGCATGTGCCGTTCGTGGTATTTAGTTATTTTATTTTCACTGTCCAAACTCAAGTTTCAGGTATCAATACATTTTTCTAAAAAAATATCCCTTTCATGTTCTCTTCAATAAACACATGTTCAAACATTTGCAGTCCAACCATAAGTGGCAGGTGTCCTGCCCCCTCCCCTCTAAAGGAACTTTTTCTACTTTAATATAAAGTATGGTAAACCTCTTATTCAAAAAGAAAATTTCTTAGCCGATTACATTTTCAGAATTGCTATCTAGCACGGCACAATCTTGAGCAGTTTCTTTCAGAATAGTAATTCTCATATTTTTCAGTCAGGTTTAAATATTTTAGATGTAAGGCAGACATTACACAGTTTAGAAATAGATTAGCACATATTAGTCACAGTATGGCATTTTCAGTAGACACCAGTTTTTCATAAATCATTGTGCATTCCACGTTCCAGAAAGCTTCTTCAGTGTTGAACATCAGCCTTTTTCCATCTGTCTTGTTTCTGTACGCTTCTACTTCTGCTCTTGAAACTCTATCCTTCAGCTGTGTGTGATCATACGCCCCTCAAAACCTTGCTTTCTCCACACAAGAGTTACATTTTTCATACTTCATAAAGTAACATATTTCCCCATACATTTCAATGCAGCTGGTCAACATCTCACCTAAATGCAACAATTAAAAACTTGATTTCTGTGAAAAACCAAAAAAAAATTTCCACATCTTTTTACAGTTATACTCATCCACATGTTTAGTAACAATTATGTCAACTATGGAAGCTTTAAATCAATCCTAGGACTTGACAATAAGGGTTTCTTCTCCTGAAAATTCATTCATCCTGTGGCTTATCACATGACTGTTGCAAGGTTGTGGACTGCATTTAAAAACTAATTTTGAAACTTAATTCATACTGAGAGGCAACAACCAATATTTTACTAGACAATATTTATTTGCAGACATTCTATAAGATAATATTGTGCAGTTACAGAAAAATTATTTCATGTCAAATCTAAGTGCAAAGCAGTAGTTAATATTTTAATTCCACATCAGAGCAACAGTCATGTATGTATAAACTAGCACTTTTTCTAGAAAAAAAAAATAAAATACCAAAGCATTTTGGGTAGCATAATGACTACACTATGAGAAATGCAATGCCAGTTGAAGAAAGTTTCTAAAACAAAGAAATGAGTCTGTTAATACTAAGGCTATATAAAAATATGGCATTATACAACGCTACTGTAGATCTGACAGCTTTCAAGATGCCGTGTGGGGTTTTTGTGTTATTATTATTTTTATTTTTAAAAATGTTACTATAATTGGCAGTAGCAAATCCAGCAAAATCCCTGCATTTACATCATCAACAGCTTTTTGAGAAAACCAAACAGTTCTGCTCCAGGAGGTGAACACTGACGCTGCAGATGATCACACAAACCCCAAGAGCCCTCAGTGCTACTTGGTCCTATTCAGCCAGCTGAGAACACTCATCCCCAGTGATCAAGCTCTCCGCTCCAGCAGACTTGTTATCAAAGACCATATGCTACTGACCAATAGCGCAAAATGACACTGCAGTGTAAAGACATGGCTTTCTCTAAAAATTATAAAGTATTAAAGTAAAAAGAAAATTCCACAAGACACTTAAAAATTATCCTTGAGTTCAACACGATACTTATGCAATCAAATAGACTATGTAATCAGTCATACTGTAGTAGAACAAGAAAAAGATTTTTTATTCACTTGAAAAAATAGCAGACTGGAAGATTTCTTCATTGCATTACACAAACTTCCCTGAGATTTTGACATAAATTACATTTAGCCTACTATATATGGGAAACCAGTTAGCTACTGAGTGTCACACACTGCAAATTTTACATAATTCCTGCATATGTTATCCAGCTAAAATGCTGTTTCGATGCTTTAAAGCTTTACCTTCTTTTATTACAAAAAACACATACACATAACAGACTACAAATGCAAAACATTTTTTGCACAAAATTTTAAATCTTCAAAGCAATGTATAGAAATGGAGAAAACAAGTTGAACAAAGCACTTCAAAGTTCTTTGCAGCTTAAAAACTGGTTGTGAAAATAGTTTTTAAAACCATCTATGTAAGTGCTTGGTGGCAAAAAAACCCAGCAGAAATACTACTAAATGCAATGGGCAGAACGAGGCCTGAATCTGCTCTCCCTCCTTACCAATCTCCCGTATCATGACATCGTACTTTTGTATGAGTGACTGGGGGAGAGAAACATCATAGTGGTACAAAACACTGCTATACTGGCACTATGTTACACTAAGTAAGGATTGTTTGGTTGTTGGGGTTTTTCTGGGTTAACCACAAATCTTAAGGAGGCCATGCAGTGAACGTAACTCCTGTTTCATTGGCTGACTCACTGCTGCAAATTTTAAAAACTTCATTTTAAATACAAATCTGGATGCCAGGTCAGTTTGCCAAGCTGTATATCCCCTTAATTGAACTTCTCTTAGCAAAAGTCCAAGAAGAACAAGCATTGTACTTCACAAATAATAATGCTTAAGTAAAAACAACAACAACAAAGACTATTCAAACTAAAAATAAACAAAACCTGCAACATTACTGCTTTGAGATATGCGATTATCCCCAAGTTTTATGCCTAAAGGCAAAACCGAAGAGTTGTCTTGTCCATAAATTTGTTAGACTTACTTCAAAAGCTGAATTATACAGTGTAAGTTATCTGTTCAGACAGCTCTGATCTCTTGCAGTTCTCAGTAACTGGGATCATGTCCTTGCCTCCTGCTGAGTGTGGAGCAATTGCACTTGTACGTCCTCCTTCCAAATAGCCTTATGTTGGGTATTACCACCAAAAGAAACAGAAGATACCTCGGGTCACTTCGTTACAAAACGGGCTTGATGTGTTTGTGACTGGCCGTGTCAGACACTGGGCTACAAGCGGTCTTTTTTGTACACTGGAAGGAAGGTATAAGGTGATCATCTTAACAGCAAAGTGAGGAGCTGTGAAATGGAGGGTATTATCTAGATTTTTAGTCCTGCTTAACAAAGTTCCAAATTTGTAGACAGGCTTAGGACTGCATGAAAATTACAAAGTTGGAAATAACAGAAGAGCAGCATTTTAAAAGCAGTACGTTTAGCTTTTTCATATATCAAAGTAAATTGAAGACACTGCCTTTCGAAAAATAGCTTCATTTCTACCTCTTGTCACTGTATCTTCAGCTATAGAAATGGGATCTAACACTTACTCAAGAGAGGAAAAGAATAGTAAGAAAAACTAAGATAAGCTGTTCGTTTTTTTCATTTTCAACTAAAATTTTCACACAGATGAGTAGGTTTTCTGGCTCTTCAAATTAAGAACGATTTACTCTCTTTCCC